GGCTTTACTACCACTTGATCCAACATCGCCTCCCTTCTTGCCTAATTTCAGTGCTCTCTCAGCTTCCTGGTGAAGATAAACGTGTATGTATAACAAAAGTTTATAAGAAGGCTGTGACACATTTGTCAAGCCCTGGTTGAAGCAGAAATAGACCATTAAACTGCTATAATGCCATCATGATAGAAAGGCGGCTACACAAGCGGTTTGCACAAAATCAGTGACATTTTTCAAAAGTTCTACAACAGCACAATAAAGTTCTGGGTATCGATAATCCTGACCATCACGTCCCATTAGATTAAAACTTGGACTGAGATTGGAACAGTAGATTACAAGCAGAGCAAGAGAATGTGTAGTGCAAATGAGTGTTTTAGGTTCAAACCCAATGCAAATTTAGACTGTTCTGTTTCAAATTATTGTTATCGTTTTAGTCCACAGAGCATATAATAATAAGGTTACGGTATACACAAAATACCAAAATTTACATCCTCTTCCATTGTACGCTATGCTATTGTCCTTGGCACTTTGCTTCTCAGACAATACGTTCGCTGTAGGATGCACTTGAATGTAAATTTGAACATCAATCAAAGCATATCAGAGATATAGCACTAGAACCGCATTCATCAAATCGTCAAACCAATATATCTGTATATTTATGAGATGATGTATAATGAATATTTAAACCTTTAACATAATCAGTCAAGCATTTCAGAGATATTGCACTAGAACCACATTCATTAAAACAAAATGACTTGCAGCAAGGTCCAATAATGGCCAATGTATGAACCAAGTTTGAACAAAATCCATCTGTAAACAGCCAAGAAATGCTTGATTTTAATGATTTTTCAGTACAAAAATGGCCGCCATTCGGCCATCTTGAATCAGCTCGTGAAACAAATTCATGTGCATATGTATAATACTATGTATGATGTATGTGTGAAGTTTGAATGTAATTGAACCAGCCATGTCTAAAATACAAGTTTAGACACACGAAGGCACGGACAAGCGCACAGAGGTCAATCCATAAGTCCCTGTTCAAATGCAGTAACAAATGATGCAACATTTCTTCACCTGACTCTTACCTGTTTTTCTCTTCTCATTCGCTTCAACTCAGCTTTACTGAGTTTTGGCGCATCGTCACTCCCAAGAGAAGTGGTGCTATCACCACCTTTTGGATGTTGTGTTCCTTTTGGTTTCTTGACTTTTTTAGATTTGTTGGATTTCTGCGAGTCTTGTCTCTCTGTTTCTGGCCGGCCACCAGGATCTTTACTCTCTTTCAACACTGGTGGCACCTCCACCTTTACATCTCCCGGCTATTTAAAAAAAAAAAATTAACTATAAATAAATAAAAAATGCAACAAATCTGACATATATGACAACAAATATATTCACAACAAATAATATCAAGTCAAGATTTAAATTCTGAAAATACTGATTGCATAAAATGACCAGGGTAGAATCCAAAGCTGTAGACTATTATTTAAGTAACTACCCTGGTAAAGATAAATGCCAAATAACATAAATAACATGTGTTCCTGATAACATTGAAAACATAGGGTAAGTATGTACGGTAGGTATAACTATATATTGTCATATTTTTTTATTTTAATTAATATTGCAATAGGACACTTTCATGATAATACTAGATGTAAATGTCACACATCCTGGTACTTTCGTTAGTATGAAAGCATCACACAAATACACAATTTGGGCATTTTAATGCATATTTGTTGCTAAGAGAAACATTTTACTTGAGCAGCTGAAACAAACAGTCTAGGATATTGTACCAAAATATCAATAAATTAGCACATGGCCAACAACCCTCGACCAATTAGAGTCGCGATAACGTGTGGTTCTATTTCACCACAAATTCACTTAGATCACAGCTGAAAAAATTTCAGGGATTTTTTTAACCAAGGGAACAGGGGCGCAGCGCCATCATGCCATGACCATGCACCCCCTTACCCTGGGAAGCAGATCCTCTGGCAACCATAAAATTCTGATTGACCAGGGATCACATGTTCCATTTTACTTAGAATTATCAAAAACTTCACACCCTGGTAGGGAGAACCCTATCTCCCCCACTTGGTGGCACCGCTGAATTGCAGTGCTCCCTCTTGAAGTTTTTTTCTAGAAAAACCACTGCATTTGATTGGCTAATAGAATCTTTTCTCGGGCTGATTGGCAAGTGCTAAGTCGGTTATAGATCACGCCCCTTAGTGACTATGAAAATTAGAACTCGGGCCTACGGCCCTCGTTCAAATTCTCATAGTCACCTCGGACCGTGATCTAACCTATACATAAACTCATTTCTGATTTTTATACCAATTAAAGTACCAGGATGTCAGACCTTTAGAGGTAATGAAAGAGACTTATTGTTGTCAACAAGATGCTGCCTACAATGTCATAAAGAAGCATTTTTTTTTGCATTTCATAATACAGAATGACACAGGCCAACATTGTCATGTAAAAAACTTGAAACAGGAAGTCAGCACCCTACAGCGGTCACTTCCCATTTATGGACATAAAAAGATACAGGGTTGGTATACAACATCTAATAAATCAAGAACAAGTATCACTGATTCTTTAGAAATAACTAGACTCGCTTATCCTCATCACAACACTCCCTGTATTCTCACATCAGTGTGTACTACCAAACCTTTTATTTTCTCTGGCATTTACATTCTTTATTTTGAGCAAGTTCATTTGGTTTAAAAGTTCACAAACTTGGCAGGCAAACAATGAGTTCTATTGTTTTTTTCACATGTCCACATGGATTTCATTTAACGGATTTTACTTTTCAGCGAAAGTAGTGAAATTAAAAACCAGCGAATAATTATATGTTTATAGTATTTGTTATACAATAATACAAACCTGCAAATCCATGTTCGGTTTTTAGTAAATTTGGCTAGTTGCTATCATTTTCATAACAGACTGCAAAAAATTTATATTCAATAATTGTGTTAAACGCAACTTCACGACAGTAATGGCTTTCTGTCTTAATCACTGTATGGCATAAAAGTAACGAAATGTTCATCATAAATTTATAAATCTAAATAAACTCAAATGAAAGATATATTGACACAATAAACCCATTCTCTCAATTTGTATTAATATTTAAAATTTTCAAATTAAAAATTGGAACTTTTGGAAATTGCTTGTTGATTGGCTGCTTGGCTGCAAATGAAATATATAAATATTTATAAAAAGAAAAGGATGAGTTTGTTGCTCCAAAAGTACACAAAATATTTGGGGTGGGCACTTTCCAAAATTTTTCCAAAATTTAAAAATGTAAAAAGTTCTGTGTTAATATTATAATAAGCAATTTATCACATTCACCCGTCCCAGGGATATCCAGTGACAACCTAGCTAGTAGTAAGCAAATAACACCGAATAAACGACAAGGTAAATACTACGTCAAATTATAGTAAACACGTACTGCGTGCGTGACTCGAACCGGCGCTCGCGTACGGCACCAAATCGCCTAGTCGGGTAGGTCACTTGAACCATGACCCTCTAACCGTGACATAGTCTATGCTTGCACGTTACATACCTTGTGTTGTTCCGATCATCGAGCGTAGAATATTTGATAAACCCCACTTCAAATCGTCTGCAGTTTCATATTTCACTGAAATTGCATTATTTTGCGATCTAAAACATTGAGTGATGCAACACCCCCAGAAGTACAGTACTGTACTCAGTCACAACATCAATCGTGTGGTCATCTTAAACGCAGACTTCGATGGACGGTACTCGTACAAAATATTATAATGAAAGAGAAAAAAATCACTAACTTACATAAAAATATAGCAGTATATTAATATCGAAATTCACTGCATTTCTGTTGACATACTGTTCATGAACATACCCATGCCTTTCTCTACAAGTTTCGATAATTACACTTAAAATGGCGCAGATCTCGCGAGAGGTATTGTTAGGCGGCGTGATTAGAACTCATGGTTTTGCATAGAGGGACGATTGTCAAATTTACAATAAAAATATCAATATAACTTAAATAGAACAGTTTTAATACATTACTTTGGTTTTAGAGAAAAAAAATACAAAAAGCATCGCCCAAAGTATCTCAGTCCCTCATATCAGCTCTACCACCCCTACGAATAAAATGGTATGTACGGCCGGATGGGAACACAGAAAATACTACTGGTATTACGCATTGCCTTTTCATACCGCCCAGTGCCGATTTGTTCATTTCGTTATAATTCGCATACCGCCCATTGGGTGTGATCAACTCCGCACATATGCATTGCAATTGAAGCCAAAGGACAGGTTTAATTGGACCCAGGGTTAACAGGTATGCTGATACACTCAATAACTTTCACTGTCAAATGACGGGCCAGCACGATCGCGGCGGGTGGCGTTAGTTTTTTTTGTTTTCGATTTTATATACCTTTATACATAGTAGGTATAATGTACCATGGAGCCAATTTTACATGTCACGGTCAGGACCCCTCCTCCGCATCTCGCCATGGGGGAAATGTCATTTTTATTCGGTGAGGAAGTTTGAGTTAACGGCGAGGAGCAACAAGTGGGTGAACCGGGCACATGCCGTTCAAATCGCCGTTCAATGGTCTCGATTGTACTAGTATCCATGATATAACAGGTGTTCGTTTCCCACCAAAAAAAAAAAATACATTTCTACCACACAGAACTGAATTCCCATCGAGCATGGCATCGATTATGGATATCCAGTGGTCGGACAGAAGTTACAGTACCAAAGAAGTCATCGAGCATTTCCGACTGCCGAAAATATTCAAAGTAACGAAAGGACTATACGGCACAGAAGACACTGAGACATTGGGCAATTTACAGGTATGTGTGCCCAGGACTCGTATCCATTAATCACAAACAACGGTGAAAGGGGATCGGTGATAGCAGAATGTTTTTGTTTTGTTTTTGTTTGTTTTTCATGACCTCATACTCCCCCCGATATTTCCCCACTATTTACTCTTGCCAACTATGGTAAGCTGTCGAGAGACGCGCAGCAGATCTGTTGTAGGTGGTAGACGTTACTTGAGTCCCGTTGTATTACGTAACTCGACTGACGTTGCTATTTTAAAAAAATCTTATGAACTACGGGAACAATCAATAAGAGAAAAATCAATAAGATCGATGAGAATCCATGTGTTTGCAAATATGCGCTGTGTCACTTTCCTGTATTAGCATACTAAACCACGCACACAATTCCGGTATAAATGGTTTATGGACCCTGATTTTGACCATGATATGACAAATATCTCTTTATCGAACACACACCGCACCTATTTACCGACTACTCAGACAGCGCCGTCAGAGTAAGTATGTAATCCACCACGCAAATGAATCATATGTACACATGCATACATCAGTCTTGGTTAAAAGAATTTCCTTCATGAATTGACCTTTTACAAGTCCATTTCGTGATACGTATTTCAAGTATGCAATCTATAGATTAAGTCATTCCGGTGTTACATAACAAAATGCACCCCGGCTGATAACACAAATCACCAAGCTGGGTCCTGTCCTCAAGACCTTTAACGTGACCTCGTAAAAGTCGCGAAAAAACGCTATACTAAACCTCGGTCGCACTCGTGTATGAACTAGTTTTCGATGAAAGTAAACAAATGTTTACACTGCCTCTTATTTGCCGCAGTGATGCCTTCGTTTAGACTTTGGTGCACCGTATTTAGACTGCAGCTCCAGTCGTGCTAATTTGTCAGTACGCTCACGGAGCTCTATTCTTACCTCTATAGCACTAACATTAGATTTCGCGAAAAATTATTTCTAGTGGCCAAGAAAATTGCCTGTTGACTGTTGAGTCAGTCTAGCCTTATGTTTGTTTAGGAGTACATGTACTTGGTTGAATAAATTACATTGAGTAACACTAAATATAGCCTTGAACGAGGTTATACTAAATGTGTCCTGTCTGGTCGGGCAATGTTTGAAGATTACTGTAGACAAATGTTCATCTAAAATCCTATGACACTACCATGATAGTACGCGAAAAATCAGCATTTCTCGTACACAAATTTAACTTAGAAAAAAATACATGTACTCTAAATATATCTGGTCACGGTCTGACAGAGATACTATGCTGGTGGAATTCTGGTTCGGGCGAGTTTCCGTCAACACGGCTATACTATATTTCTTTTTCATGTTCGTGCTTTTTTGAGCGTTACCTGCTGAGACATTCATAGTCTTTTTTCGTGGTATGAATAGCTGAATTTTATTTCAATGACGTCACGGCCAATTTTATGACGTTGTAAAGCTAACATGCACTTACAAATGACAACCCCATACTTGCAACAATAAACAGATATTTGATTCAAAAACAGGAGATTGACATGTAATTGTGTGAAAAATAATAGCATTCAATATCGCACTATATTTAAATAAATATGCCCATTTATTTAGTACCACGTGACACAAAGGATGGTTGCGTGCAAACATCTACTTTAAATTTGATTAAAATGGAAACTCAAACATTAAAAAACATACGAGACACGCTATTGAACTTCAAAAATTGTTAGTTTTGTACCCCGCGTGTTTTCAATTCAATTCGAAATTCAACAACACAGTTTTCTAGGCGTATGTAAACACACATTCAGATTGATACCAACACAGAGACAGCACCGATGACGAGAGTGAGGATAGTCAAAATTATTGTTTTATTTCAAAAAGAAAGGCAATAAAGACAACTTTCACTATAATAGGTGATTTTCCGAACAATTGCGAGATCTCGCGAGATGCATGAAAGACGCGCGTCGAACGTCTGCCGCAAAAATCGAACGATTTGATTTTGAACTAGAATTTCTTTATTTCGCAGCTTACATTGACCGGCCGATCTTCGACAGAGGAATATTGCTTCCGAATACCCTCACTTAATCGAAATTGCCTATCATCAAATGTGGACAGCACATTATTAAGCATGGAAATGTCCCCGAAATACTTTCGCGTTTGTCGAATCCCACGCGATGTTTGACGCCGCTAAGACGCTATGACCTTTGTCCTGTTTTTACGTTCGATTTCACGCATAACGCGTGATTCTCGCAGTGAACGGAAAATGGTCTATTGAGAATGTTTAAATATTTGTTATTGGTAGTTGAGTAACAGTAGAAAATGTCGTGTTGAAAATTAAAACTAGTACACATTCTGAAGCGCATGCGTACTAGTGTTGTTTTTTTTCCTCAAAACGAATACTGTTAAGTTTGCGTTTTTAAATTACCATATTACATCATCGCTTAACGTTTTGTTCAAGATACAATTTCATCCCACGAACTCGGGCACAAAACGATCAAAGTTAATATTCACATTTTCTCACATTAAAACGAATATCATTGCAGTCCTAAAACACTACTCGTCAATTCAAATACTCAGAATGTATCCAATGTTTAATGTACTGTACTTCTAGGCAATATAGAAGTATTGACTTAAAGTTAAAAAATTGGGGGTCACCAGCTTAATTTTCGAGATAATGATGGTTGTACTTCAGTGGATAGCGGCCATTTTGGCAGTAGTATAGTGCTTTTACTATAGATTCCCATGGCGGAGATATTATGTCATATCTCAATTTATAGGCTGGTGACATAGGCTGAAAAAATAATATATTGTTAATGGTTGTATACATTTTGTTTTCTTCAATTATTTCAAAAATTTGGCTTTTAAAAGATGTCGCAAAATACAAGTCTAAAAATAGCAATTTTTGAAAAATATTAAAACAAATTTCGCTAAATACGTCGCTGTAACACACGAAAGAATGCTATTTCATGGTGCCACGAGTCTCTAGCTTCACCGCGACCATTTTGCACAATAAACCAATGAACATTGTCATGCGATTTATGACCAACTTTCTCAAGTAGACTTCTACCAGAATTACTTAAAGCGGGGAAGTCGTCACTTGCGCATGCGTCAGATGGTCATTGGTGTGTTATTGTTTACAAACAAGCGTCTACCCAAGAGACTTTGCA